ATGGAAACCCGCAGTCTTTAAGAGGAGTATGAACGGCCTAGCACACATTACCTTAGCGAAATGTTTGATCACGTGATCAAATAAAAAGTTTTCAATTATAAATTTTTTTAGTTTCTAATACGCTAGTGCTCGGAAGGGGACTGAAGGGAGTGCTGCGCATTGCCAATCTACCCGTTCTTGATGATGTACCTTCAAGGACGATCTCTAAGCTCGTGAGAAGATTTAGAAACCGATATTTGTGTGAGGAAGGGGTACTTTTTCTGTCCCAAACAGTTTGAGGGTTCCAAGAGAAGGGTAGTTTCGAATGTGGACAGCATTTGAATTACCTTGTCCGAGTTGTTCCCACCAAATAATCCATCGCTAACTCACCGATAGCTCAAGTAAACCGACCATTCGGCGCACAACATGGTAAAAGATTGGGAGCAGGTGACAGAAATCTTTTCACCAAGAACATTTCTTCAACGCTTCTCGGTACAGCAAACATTTTCCTCAAGCTTTTTGATACGGCTGGGGTCAAAAAAGACTTGAGTACCTATTTTTTCAGGCACCCGACTCATTCCCTTGCCATTTGCAGGCAACAAGTTCGAGGAAATGTCCACAAACCCATCCGCTATGACTGAGCTTCAACCCGTTTGTGCTTTCCCTCCATCAAACTGGACAATCCTCATGAACCACGACAGGTAGGAGACCTTCCGCATAGCTGTATCTCTGATTTGCATACCAGACTTTTGTCCTTTTCACCTTTTTGACCAGAATATAAGCCTTTTCCTAAAAAGGTAACAGTACCTTGACAGCCTCCTTACACGTCTTGTAATTGCTTTCGAGTAGGCAGTCGATATAGGTCTGTGTAATTAAACATTCGTACGATGACATGGGAATTACCCTATTTGAGTCGTTCCCACAAAATAATCCATCGCTTACTCACCGATAGCTCAAGTAAATCGAGTATTTGACGCAATACATGGTAGAAGGTTGGGAGCAAGTGACAGAAATCTTCTCACCAAGAACATTTCTTCAACCCTTCTCGGTACAGCAATCGTTTTCTTCACCGTTTTTTGGTACAGTTGGGGTCGAAAAGGAATTGAGTATCTAGCCTTTTAGGCACCCGACCCACTCCTTTGCCATCTGCGGGCAGCAAGTTCGAGGAAAAATCCACAATTTCAACTCAGCTTCCTCGACTGGTACCCATCCGCTATGACTGCGTTTCAACTCGTTTGTGCTTTCCCTCCATCAAACTGGACAATCCTCATGAACCACGA